CCCCGACCCCCAGGCAAAGATTCCATGGGCTTGTGCTCATCTACCCTATACCTTGAGTCTTCCATGTGGGGTAGAAGTCATTTCATCTCAGCATACAGTACAGTTCGTGACACATAGCAGGCTCTCAAGAAACATAAAAAGCACAAATGAACGAAGTCCTCCCTAATCTGGCTCTGGCTACTCTGACTTCCATCTCTCCCCAGTTCCTCCCTCCTCCCCCCACACACACAACTTGCCCCTCTTCTGGTTTGCCGCACTCTGTCCAATCTTACCTCATTACCCCACCTTAGTTCACTTTGTCGCTCACCTGAACTATTCAATAGCCTCCTAACTGATCTCCACACAGTCCTCAGGTCCCCTTCATCTCCTGCTGCTTCCTTCATGTCACCGGATTGCAGGTCCCCAGATACACCTCAATTTTCAGTCTAATTCTTCAAAGCCTTGAGCCAAGGTCTGGACACACAAACAATGGTCCTTACCCTCAAGGAGCCAACTGCCCACCCCTCCTGCCCTCCCCCGCCCAACTACCTAAAGTACAGGTGAGGACTGAGCTAAATCACACAGCCAAGAGAATCCTTCAGTGGCCCCTTATCTCCGAATGCAAAGTCAGGGACCACGAGGCTCCTCCTCTCCCCACCCCTAGCTAGGTCCGCAGCTTCACCTCCCCACATACTTTCCCTCACTGTGAGCTCTAGCCCAGACCCCAGACAGTCCCAGCCCCAGGCTTCACCCAAGTTTCTCTGGCAATGCAACAACTTTCCTTGTGGTTCTGCTGCATTGCTTCCAAGTCTGGGTCAAAGGCCCCTCCTTTGAGCTCCCTTAGCCCACCCCACCCCCCACCACACACACACACACACACACACACACACACACACACACACACACAGTATATATAACACTCTAATCCCCTTGCCAGGCTGCCCGAATACCTTCCCCGCCCCATGTGGACCAGGAACTCCCTAAGGTCAAAAACAGGATCAGCTCCTTCCTGCTGCTAATGCTACACCTTCATAAATAGATAGTGAAAAGTGTTTTTGAATGAATGAATCGAGATAAATCTAACAATGAAAATAAACAGCTAAATAAGATCTACAAAGTGTTAACACCAGCTGTTTCTGACGGGTGAAATTTTGAGTTACATTCTTTTTGCGTGGTCTATTCTGATGTTTCTGTATTGAGTATGTTTTGCTTTTGTAATAAAATAAAAAAGAACACTAAAGGAAACTTTATTTTGAAAAAAATACAAAGGGGTTTTGAGGCATCAGAAGAAGGGAAATCTCCTCATCCTTTGGTGAGAAACCGGACAGAAATGTTTCAAGAGCCACAGAATCTCTGCAAGTGAAGAGAGGAGGGCCAACCAGCCTCAGGGCACACACCACTGGCACATGCAGAGCTGGGCCAGCAAAGGTGTGGGGTGCTGGGTAGAGCAGAGTGGCTCCTTACAGATGCAAGATGAGGAATTTCCACTTAGGTCATTGAATGTGGGGAGCTACAGAGACCATTGAGCGGAGGAAAAACATGACCAGAACTCAGCATCCAGATCATTAAAGACAGAGTAGTGGACGAAGTCCAAGCGGGTGGGTGGTGTGGAGTAGAGGGAAGAGAAAAGCCCGTCAACAAACTCTATCTTCCTCTTTCGAAGCATCTAAACCACAAGTTCAGAAAACGCTCCCGGACTGCTCAACCCTCAGCCATATTACTATTCGGTGATGGGCATTTAGAATTACTTGGGTCAGCTGCCGACCTATCTTCCCACCTGGACTGCAAGCTTCTAATTCCTCCTACTTCACATGAGGTGCCAAATACAAGCGTGCTCAAAGAGTGAAGGTGTGCACGGGGCCACCCAGGGAGAAACAAAGCCAGGTAGCTTCCCTTCAAATCGAGGCCAAAGCCAGAAGTGCCCTCATTGTGCGGGCAGCCGGCCTTGGGTAAGAGGTCTGTGCCCTGACAACCTGACCCGGAGACGATCTCCCAAAGTAGAGGTCTCGGTGGGAAGCCCAGCCTCTATGAGGCGAGAACCGGAACGGCGAGGCTAAAAGCAGGTAAAAGCAGCAGGGAATGGCAGCCTGGAAAGACCCTTCCTTGGACGGTTGGGAGGAAAGCGGGTGGATGGCGTAAGAAGGGGACTGCCAACTCGATGGAGAGCGGGCTGAGCCCGAGACTATGGGAGGAAGAAGTGAGGGAGGGGCGGGGT